AGAGGAAGGGATGAATCGGTATATCTGCGACCGGACCGATTGGAAGCAACGTGTTTTCTTACGACTTGCGTGGATAACGGCGAGCTGTTGGTCTGAGATTGCGGCCTTAACTCCCAACAATTCCACACTGGAGGCGGACGGGACCATAATTTTGGATTGGTCCGTGGCGCCGAGGACGGCGAGGGCGGATCCCCACCGCGCCTTTCGGTTCGTCAGGACACGAGGGCAGGATGCGTTAGACACTATAAAGTTATGCAGGACACTTCGACGCAACGAGAAGCTCACGAAACTTACGACTGCACAGGTGACACGAGCTCTGGCTCCTTGGATGCCACGGCGCATTCCATAAAACGGGGAGCGTTGAGGCACGCTGCTCCAATTGTGGAGACACACGATTTGGATCCACACGTGATCTCGCAGTTGGCGGTGCACGTCGACCCGTTCGACCTTCCCCAGAGCACAGTTCGATATTTGGGGAGTTACACCACAATGCTGACCCAGGTGTTGCCGCTGGTCGCATTGATGTGAAGGGAGAAACTGCGGAAGGGCAGGAGCCCTGGCTGAGAGCGGAGGAGCGTTTCTCCATCAATTTCATCACCATGCGTCTACAATAACAAGACGCGCGACAAGGACGCGCCTGGCCACTCCACAAGAGGAACGAACCGTCCCGCTACAGCAACAAGTCAATGTGCCCGTATTGAATCTGGAGTGGATCCAGAGCCGGTTGAACCCGGCGACCTTGGAGAGACTCATGCAAGTATGTGGACTCGTCGGGCGGTCCCCTTTACCTTTATCCTCCTCCGGTAACGCGCGAAGGCTCACGGAGGATTCCAGTCGCTGACGCGCGATTAATGAAGGAAGCGGGAATAATTGTGGACGCATCGTTCACAGTAACAAGCGGCGGATGGATAAAGCCTTTTCTGTGGTGGAGGAGAAAACCACCGGTTTGCGACGACGATGGATCGCGTGGCCACGCGACGAGAGGAGAGACGACCATTACGAGGCTCATGCTCCTCTTTTACACATTTCCCATTATTTGCCACCTGTGATGGCTGAGGCCGCTTCCTGCGTGGAATTAAAGGCATCCTTTTTCCGGTCTTTGTTGCTGCGGGGGCTCGGCATCTCTTTTGATGCCGCGTGGAGGACGGCACGCTGGTGGAGCTCACACGGCTCCCAATGGGACACAAGGCCGGCCCAGAAATTCTCCACATTATTATTACTTCGGCAATTGCGGGGTGACGACGGTGGTTCACCGCCCCCGGGCTGCACCTCCATTGGTGCGTATCGACGTATGGATCGATGATATACGCATTGCAGGGGTCGATAAGCGGTGTGACATTGTGGGAAGCCCAGGTGCTTTTTAGCGCGGATGGCCGTCACGCTACGATATGGGAGGAACGCGAATTGGAAGCCACGCAGTACATCTTCCTGTGGGTGCTGTTTGATCACACACACCGGGCGGTGTCCCTGAGTGACAAGTTTGTCCGGTGTGTATGCGCCATGCCGTCGCTGAGGTATTTAACCATCGCGGAAATGGAGGTTGTAGCGTCACGTTTTTTGTACGCGGCTGCCATTTTTGGTCAGGCGTTTATTTGACTGCTACTTTTTCATCAAGGCAGTGCGACGACGATTATCGGCAGTTAACCGGGGGATTGTGCAGGAGACATCCCCGACAAACCTCCACCGTCAGCGGTTGGTTTGGGCAAGAGATTGCGACACAGCATCGGGAATATAATCGTAAGCGAATCATCAAGCCCACGGAAAAGGCATAGGCCGCCATCATCACAAATGCATGGCTCCATGGATGGGGAGCCGTTTTTGTTCCATACTCCGGCGACGTTAAAATTGCCGGATGAAAATGGGAGAAGAAGCCCTTTCTTATCATACAGGCGGAGGCACGCGCGGTACACTTGGCCTTATCGGCCTTTTTCCGCCATCTTGCCATCCACCATGGACTTTTGGGTGGACAACACTTCGCTGCGAGGAGCGGCGAATAAAGGCAGCTCAAAATCACACTCCATGACGTGGGAGCTGCAACGGATATACGAGTTTTTGGCTCTCGCGGAATACATGCATCCGTTGCCTACGTGCGGTCTGCGGACAACCCCGCAGACGGCATATCACGCGGCTGTGTTTTTACACTTCAGCACTTGGCGAAGGGGTGGAAGTGGCGAAGGGGAGCGGCGGGGTCTTTTGGCTGGAGGACCCCAAAGTCTGCCACTTCGTAAGAAATTATATATGTATCCAATCCGAGTAGAGTGAGCGGGCCACAATTGTGGCTATAGGATGATGTATATATACATACATTTACTTGGTGTAAAGTTTGAGGATGTGGTGAACCCACTCTTATTCCATTTACTTCTCATTTCGGTCTTGTTTGTTTTCCGTGATTGATAACCTCAGGATGAGGAAAGCGGCCTGGGTGAATGTTTATTTTGTGCCACCGCGTGAAGCACTGCCATTCCATTGAAAGAGGGATGGCTGTGTAAATTTTGGTGCCGTGTGACTGGCGGATGGGTGAGGGTCCACTTCAACGTGTGGCTGGCGTGGTGGGTGCTCGCTCCGGGTGCGTTGTGTGTTGGCTGCGGGGATGTGGCCGTATCCCGTTGGCCGTGAGAATGTTCTGGAGGCGGTGGCGGTGTGTGCGTTTGTTGTGTGGAGGGCCGAATCCTCCCACCCGCGGACTGACAGCACTGCGGTGTTTGTGTGTTTCAGCGGCGTTGTGCGAGCATGTCCTCTTTTAGAGTGTGTGTGGTGACAGCGGTGCCACAGGGGTGTGGGACCGTGACCAGCGGAATGCGTGGGCGAACCCTCCGCGCCCACCACGTTGTTGTTGGCCCTCTCCAACACTGTGCTGGGTGGATGGTACCCGCT